CTGCAGCAGCAGCAACAACGACAAGAAGATCATCAACAACAACAAGAAAAATAACGATAACAACAACAACAACAACAACAACAACAACAACAACAACAACAACAACAACAACAACACCAGCAGCAGCAGCAGCAACAACAACAACACCAACAACAACACCAACAGCAACAGCAACAGCAACAACAACACCAACACCAACACCAACACCAACACCAACACCAACACGAACACGAACACGAACACCAACAACAACACCAACAACAACACCAACACCAACACCAACAAAAACACCAACACCAACACCACCACCAACACCAACACCAACACCACCAACACCACTACCACCACAACCACCAACACCACCACCACNNCAGCAGCAACAACAACAACAGCTACAACATGTTCTCAGACCTACCGGGGGCCATACAGAGCCCAGCGGAAGTAGCTTTCAGTACAAAGGCACTGCTTGGACCCGAGCCCCAAACTTACGTTTCCTGTGACACATCGGCCACATGCCAAGCGTCGGAACAGAGTACGACTCTTGATGGCACCAGGCACATACATAAGGATTCTCAGCGCTGGGCTTCGCAGAATCTTTTCTACAGTGGTCCTCATAGATGTATACGACAGAATAAGGGTCCTTATGCTTAGATTAGATGTCGATACCACTCAAGACAAGTCAGCATGAAGAGGGCCAAGAGACCATAGCAGGAGCAGTCGCCCTCCCTGTCCGGTGTGCGGAGGGCGGCAAAAGCAGGACATCTCGATTTCGCCGCTCCAATCGCGAGTTCTGTGGTTGTGGTCGTGGTTGTTGTTTCGATCTTTGTTTCACAGGTGCAGGTTTTGCACTGCACAGTGAAGTATGCAGGGCTGTAGGTGTTCTTTGTGGCTGTGTATGAAAAGGGGCATCCCAGGCTCCCCTCGTAGAAGCACTGCTTTGAGTGGGGGCATTTGCAGTCGCCATCCCTGTCAGGATGGGAAACCTGGACAGGGCTCTCGATTCAACTCTCGTCCATGCTATTCAGGGCCTGACCGGATGTTGAAGCAGATAAGTTCAGGAAACATATGTGTCAAAGATGCTAGGCAAAGTTTGTGAGGTTCTACATTCTACAGCTAACCTAAATCGAACAAGACACGCTGGCAAAGCTTGGGCAGCTGGAGCCGTCGGGTCCGGCTTCCGGGCGGCTGTCTGACGTCTGTGTGGCTGTGTCCTGGGAGGGGTTTGACGGGGCTCCATGAAGTGAAGTCTACAGTCTACAGATGTCTACAGCAGAGTTTGCACATCCCATAGCCCATGACCTTAAAGCCCTACTTTTTGTAACTTTTCCTGGATGTAGTAGCAGAAGTTGTCAGCGTTTTTCAGTGCCAGTGCAGGATCGGCCCGAGCAAGCTTCTGGCATGTAGATCGGCCATAGGCAGTGCCCCCCTCGAAATCCACGTCATCTGTGAAGGCCGTGGCATTGTACCAGCACCGCATTCCGAAGCCATTTCTCGGATCCAAACTGCAATCACCAGAACCGCATGCAAACGCTACAGTAGTTAGTCGCCGCATATCGATCTTGTACGTCTACTTTCTACATGTCGTCTTTGTCCCAACATCCTGAAACGCACAGTCGAAACCTTACTGACCGTAAAGCCGGAGCCAAAACCCGGCCTGGGTTTGCCGGCCGCTGAAGGCTCGAATCACGATGCCCATGTATGCCTCACGGCTTTGTGGGCCTTGTTGTGGGATTTTAGCCTAGGGTCCCCGGCTTCTCAACCATGGGCTGCAAAATCCCCTCAATCCGCTATTAACCGATATCTCATTGTCGAACAGGGCACGAAGGTATTTCCGAACACGGCCGGCTGAACCGGTAGCAGTAGAATTCCCAGCGATCCCTCTTGATCTCGAAGTCGCCCTCAAGACGTCCTGAGATCCCAAACCCCAAAGGCTGGGTCTAGGAGTCTTGGGTTCCGAAAAACCCAGAACTTCTGACTTTCACATGGTGCACTAGATTGGAAGGCCTGCTGTGGACCGCAGCAAGGCAGCTTCGTCGGTTTGCCCGAGCTCTTTAGCCAAGAATCTCTGCGACTCTCATGAAACAATAGAAAAAACCCCGCAAAGTCAAGGCCTAAACCGAAACACTGAGCGCTCAGAACCCCTCTCCCTCGTATGCCGCCACCCAACTGGCCTTGGCAAGTTCCTCCTTCTGCTTGTTGAGCCTGGCCTGGTCGAAGCTGGGCGACGCTCCCAGCATTGACATTAGGGCACCACACGAAGCAAGCATCAAGACACGGACAACGAAAGCTTTCTCACACACAAACACAGACAGTAAATACAAGCTCTTACGTACTGATGCTGCTCAGAAGGCGAATTACCCAGAGAGCTCAAGTTATTTGTGTTTCTTTGTGGTACTTGTTCCTGCCCTGCGCTTACACCGACATGTCCGTGCTCCTCTGCATGAGTTCTGCCTTTGACCCTACAGTACCAATTAAACAGACCCGACACCCTCATGAACTTTGAACCGCATAACACGACTCCCCATTCCACATCGAAATATGACAGTCGTCATTCCCGAGCATAGGAAGCTGCAAGGCTTCGCTTGGGATTACGTCGTTTTAGCCCCGCGGCCGATGCTGTATCCGACGACGCTTCCTTGCAAACACTTTGGCCTCCGAGGGAGTCATGCCAGATGCTGTCTGCAGGAAGCCAGCCACACCTCAGTAGGTGTGGAACGGTGATCGGATGGGGCTCAAGCTGATGGTATTTGATTTGGGGCATCGGTCCTGCTCTCCGTTTTCGGAAAATTGAAAAGCAGTCCCTCATGGTCTTTCCCTTCTCTTGCTGCCATCCCGACAAGCTTCAAGGATAGGGGGGCTCGTGTTGTCCGGGTGACAGGAACCAAAGGTGGAGTAAGTTTCTCGGATTACTTGAAAGGTGTTGGCGTTCCCAGAACCTCTTGTAGGTGGACCCTCCACTGAAAGCCCCGATAACCTAATTCCGTTCTCATGCCCGGGGTGTGGTTGTCGTGTGTTGACATCACGCTTCGTTACAGTGCGGGCTATATGCAGCCCCAACCTTGCACAGCAAGCGTACATGTTCAGACCGCTCGAAAGCCTGCAGCCAGCGGGCTCTCTTGGTCATCGTCTTCGTCTTCGTCCTCATCCTCGTCCTACAGTGTCGAAGCTGAAACTTGCAACCTTGAGCCCGCGACATGTACATGAAAGCTGTGGGGTGTGTTCTTCGCCTGGTATATACGAGGAAGAGCTCACCGTGAGTCGAGCATGCTTCACACTCGTACTTGACAGAGGTTGCTCTTATCTACGAAGAAGTCACGAGCCTCGGATGACGAAGATCCCGGCCTCGCATTGTAGCAGTGATGAGGCCCGATTACAAGGCATGAAGCTTGCAGTCGCGACCAAAGATCTGCTGGATACTGTTGCAAAGGGCTACTTCTATGTTGCAGATGCAAGTAACACAACTCTCCAGGGTGCTTCATCCCAACTCCGGTGCCCTCAGTACTCTTAAACCAAATTTGCTACAAGTAGTCGCTGTGTCCGGGCTTTGAGAACTGAACTGTGGCACTGGCCGGCTTGCGCATGCTTGCGCGCTTGAGGAACTTTAGGAGGCTTGGGGCTTTTGAGCAATACTTTCGTACACTGAAGTGCCTTTGTGAAATAGGCTGAAACTTGCGTAGTCTCGAGCACCGGGCAAATCATGTGTGGTGTGCATGTCCTTTCGTGTATGCTACGGAACCGCCTCTCCGTAGGGTAGATGCGGAAGAGGTTGGCAACCCGCTCCACCATCTCCCAAAGGTGATAGTCCACCTTCTCGTGCACCTGCTGCTCCTCGGCTCTCCCTAAACGTCACTTCCGGAGGGCAGACGGCCGAGAAACTCTGACGCAAGAAGCCTTGCGACAGACTATTGCAGAATCTTGCAGCCCGAGCTTCCTCAAAGTTCAGGGTTCGGGCGTCAGATGGACAACAAGCTCGAGTGAGTGAGTGCGTGAGTGAGATCGAGTGAGTGTCGAGCTGAGGTGCTCTCCGGCCCACGGTCCCTCTTCTTTGCCCCTCCGCATACGGCATCAGGGCTCCAATCAGAGTTCAAAGCTCTGTGCCCCTCAATCCGAGCCTGGGATTAGGGTCCATGGGCCCGCAAGCCGGGCGGCTTGGGTTGGAATTGGACACAAAGTTCATTCCTCGACGATACCTTGATTTAAACCTCAAACTAAAGACTGTGCTTGCGTGCCTGGCTGTTTCAATTCCAGCACTCCAGCCCAAAACGAAACCCTAAAACCAAGTCGAGCCAATGCCCTCCCTCCCTCCTCCCTCCCTCCCTCCCTCCCTCCCTCCCTCCCTCCCTCTCAAGGGCGAGAGCCTTGTACTCTCTCTCTCTCTCTCTGTCTCGCTCCCGCCCCTTGAGACTTCGATCTTTACCAAAACCTCAAAGCCCGCCACCCCGGAAGCCAGAGCATTTACTTGTAGTTTATCCTGTACAAACCTGAGCCAAGGCTCCCTTGCTCGACCCCTGCGCTGCGGTGCGTCGTCGAACTCATGCAGAAAAGCCTCTCATCGAGTCTCCGCAGCCTAAACCTACGCTCGAAACTCAAAGCCTCTCAGGACGGAAACTCGTAGTCTGAAGAAACGTAGAAGTGTGGGTTGAATTTGGGGCGTAGAAACCCATCTAACTTGTGTTTCGCTGCTGGCACAATTGATACCCGAACCTGTGCTAAACCGTGCAACTCCAAGGCGAAACACTGAACCTCAACATAAATTCATCATAAGCCGGAAAGGACGTCTGACAACATAAGTGTCAGGACGACTCCAAGATGCAGAAGACTCAACTCCTTCACCGTAGCATAAGTGGCGTTCCACTGTAAGCTTTCCAAAGGTTTCGTGCTTTAGATGATTTGCCGATTGACCTTGTCGCCGAAGTCTGGTATGTCCTTCTCCTCTCGGGGCCCTTGACCCTTTAAGATGGAGGGTCGGACGTCGAGATCACAAAAGGTCTCACCTTCGACATTGTAGCAGGAAACGTCACCTGAGTCATGTCTTCAGTTTGGCTTCTGACCCAGACAAACACCCAGCACCTACGCACATGGCGGTCCTGGTCCCAACCCTTTGACCGGTCACTACTCTGGCAGATGCAAAGAAAGAAAACGGCTGCCACTAGAATACCTTGCCACTGGCAGGGGGGCAAATCGCCACCTTTTGCACGTAGCTCTTGACTGCCTGGGTTCACTGCAGAATCGGGGACATTGCTCGTGATGCAATATGAGATGCTGCCCGCGAACATCAAGTTTCAAGCGGGTTCAATGGGCCAATGCACCCGGACAGCGTCCGCGCATGAAGACCCCCCTATCAGTGACTCAATTTGTGAGGCTAGTGCTGCTCCATACGCTAAGACTCTGATACTGCGGTTCCACTGCGACTGCTTGTGCTGCTGCTAGTAGGCCACCCCGTCTTCCTCCTACCCCTCCTGCTTGTCATGTAACACTTGTACATGTACTACTTGTACAACTTGTACCGCTTGTACTACTTCTAAAATATTACCACTACTGCTACTACTAGGACTACAACCACTACCACTATGGCATTTGCTACAGGGCTCCAAAATCGGCAACACCGTCCCATGCTACCACCAAGCTACGGCGCACAATGCTTCGCATTCGACCCAGAAGCTTCCGTCTTTCCCCGCGGGCTTGTTCTGCGGAAGACCAATCGCTTCCCAAAACCTGCTTGACCCGAAACTCTGAAAGGCTGAGGGTTTTTTTGTGTAGGGCTTGGGGGCAAGCTGCACCTCCAGAGTCTCAGTCGCGAACCTGCCTTAGAGCCCTCCACCCGTAAACCCTAAAGCCATGTTTGAAGATTCATGCCTTCATTAGGGGATCTTGGGCCTGCTGGGTTTGAGGTTGGGGAAAGTCGTCGTTTGTTCGTGGGCCCTGGACATGGCTATATAAGCAAACGGCCTTAAGCAAACCAGCCTACCCTGACCCCTTCCAGATTAAAATTTCCCACAAAACCAGCCGCTATCAAGATAAGAAAACCAGACCAACCTCGCCCCAGAAAGTATTTTGTGTACAGCGCTCCCGCCGCACCTGGTTCTCTACCTATAACTGCAGCTATGCACATATGTGCGCATGTGTGTGTGTGTGTGTGCGTGTGTGCGTGTGTGTGTACGTGTCTCAGTGTGTGTGTGTGTGTGTGCGTGTGTGTTGGTGTGTGTGTACGTGTCTCGGTGTCTGTGTTTGTGTGTGGGGTGTGTGGTGTGTGTGTGTGTGTGGTGTGTGTGGTGTGTGTGTGTGTTGGTGTGTTGGTGTGTTGGTGTGTTGGTGTGTTGGTGTGTGTGTGTGTGTATGTGTGTGTATGTGTGTGTATGTGTGTGTGTGTGTGTGTGTGTGTTTTTGAGCATCTGTATATGCCTCTACATACACGCATATATATATATATACACACAAGGACACACATATGCATGTAAGCATTTATGAATACATGTATCTATGTACATGTCTATGTCTGCATCTACATCTACATCTACATCTCTACCTTCTCCAATTTTTGTAAATCTGTATTTACTTATGTATGTATCTGCATCTATATAGGTAAACCTGCGTGCTGACATACGCATATACACACACACATATATATATATATATGTACATTACATGTGTCTGTAAATCCACACATGCACACATAAACCTCTCTCTCTATATATGTATATAAATACACATGAATATATATATATATATATATGTATATATATACATACATACATACATACATACATACATACATACATACATACACATGTGTTTATATATATATATATATCTACACACCTATATACACATCAAAATCTACATTGACACGGAAACAAAAATAAATGATCAAGGTGTATATACACAGGTGCACAGACACAAGAGAGAGACAGAGAGGGAGAGAGAGAGAGGTGGAGACGGGTCTTCTCGTGCAAATATGTGCTATTTGCCTTGAGAATGAAGCCCGAAGTGCCACCAGACTAAATATTGTTAACGTTTGTACCCTGCGAAATTAGGCTGAACATTGGCCTGCACGTTACCCACTATGGGAACCGTCACCTTACATAGTTATAAAATTCAAGCACTCGTAAAGAAACCTTAGCCATAACCATGACCCTGACACATCTGCATGTCCACCTGTCTACCTATATACCTATCTATCGATCTATCTTTATGTTGATCTCTGTGTATGTATCTCTTTATAGCTTCGTATATGTACACATCAACCAATCTATCTATCCATACACATATGGTTAAGATTTGCATGTGTGGGCATATATATATATATATATGAGAGAGGCAGGCTCCTCCGACTCTGGAACCGT